GGCCAGGGTCTGGAGTTGAGGTGCGCTCTGGGGTTCACTCTGGCCGGCCCCTCCTCCGAGCAGGGGGTTCTGGACTTTTACAGCCTTGGAGGAACTGTGCCGGCGTCCAGAGCGCCCTCGGGGCTAACACCTGCTGGTCCAGGAGGCAGTGATGAGGGTGGGGTGGCCGAAGGTCGAAGAAGAACCCAAGAAGGAGGGATCCTGTCCTCACGCTCTGCCCTTCCCTTCGGGGGAGGGGCTGGGCACTCTCAGGGAGCTGAGCTCCACCAGTGCCGGGTCCCCGATCCCCGAGGCCAGATGGGGCTGCAGGACAGCGCGGGGCAGCCCCTGCTCCTGTTCCTCCTAAAATGCGTGTGTGTGTTCCCGCGGGACCTTTCTAACCCCGCAGGCGCAGGGTCTCATGGGGGATCCCAGAACTCAGGAGGCTGAGGTGGGAGGGGAGGGTCGCTGTGAGTTCAAAGCCAGCCTATGCTGCATAGCCAGATACTGACTTACAAAACCAAAAAAAAAAAAAAAAAAAAAAAAAAGACGTGCAGACCCAATGCTGGTCAGATGGGACTACCTGTGCAGCTCAGGCTAACGACCTCAGGCAGGTCCACTTCTGCCCATTTTGCAGGTGAGGTCTGGAGAACCCCTTGGCCCAGACTGAGTCCCAGCTCCAGAGGTTGACTGAATCACCTGCCCCACTTCTGTTTTCTGTGGGTGTGTAGGGTGGCTGGGGATTGAACCCGTGGCCTTCGCACTGAGCTCCACTGGGCCTATTTATTTATTTATTCACTCATTCATTCTGTCATCTGTTTGATATTCTCACCCTTTTTATTGTTGTTGTTATTGTATTTTTGGTTTTGAGGACAGGGTCTTACTATGTACCTTAGGCTGGCCTCCAACTCAAGGTGACCTTTCGGACTCAGCCTCCCGAGTGTACCACCACATCTGGCTGGCCTGCACTGAACTCACCATGCAGCCCAGGTGGTCTTCAGACTCAAGGCCATCCCCTTGCCCCAGCCTCTTTAGTGCTGGGATCAAGGGCGGTGTGCGACACCACACTCGGCTTTATTTTTTATTTTAAAAACAGGTAGCTGGCATCTGGATGTGGTAGCGCACACCTGTGATCCCAGCACTCGGGAGACTGAGGCAAGAGGACTGCCATGAGTTCAAACCCAGCCTGAGCTACACGGAGACCTAACCTCAACCACAAAAAAAAAAAAAAAAAAGGTAGCTGAGTTTGAATTTGGGCTGCATTTGAATTGAATCCTGCAGCCGGGATGGGGTTACAGGCGTGGCCGCCACGCCTACTCCACCCCAATCGGTTAAGCATTTTAGCTGGGGGCTTGGCGCCGGCTTCCAAGCCCCTGGCTCCCTCGCGCAGCTCGGCGGTCCGGAGGGAGCGGTCCGGCTGGGAGCAGATCCAGCAGGTAGGTAAGCGGGCGGCCGGGTGCCAAGAGCCAGGGTGGAGAGTGGAGGGTCGGGCGAACGTGGCCCGGGGAGAGGAGGGAGGCGCAGTGGCCTCTCTCTGTCCCCACTCCGCCCAACCAGTGGCCTGGGGCAGTGGCCCGGTCTCCGTTGCCTCCGGGCCCCACGCTCCGCCTCCCACACGTGCTGCTGGGGCTCCCGCGGGGTTCGGGTCCCTTCCCCCACCTAGCCCCGGGCGCCCGGGGGCTGGGCTGGGACCTGGGCGGGGGATCGTCCTTCTTGGTGGTCTGCGCTGTCAGTGGTACTCGGGGCCCTCCAGCACCTGGAGAAGGGAAGCTGAGGCAGGAGAGTCACGGGTTCAGTGCCACAGTTTTGGGACCTCGGGGTCAGAGTCCTCGGTCAGATCTAACAGGTTCGAGTGCGCGCGCGGTCCCTACCCAAAGGTGCTCTTGACTGCAGTGGCCGGAACCCGGGAAAGGCGCCCCGGCCCTTCCTCCCGAGACCCGGTTCCCCGGACCCGGCGGGTGCGGGGCCGGAGCGCGGACCCAGTGCGCCTGGAGCTGGGGCTGCCTCTCTGGGCGGCGGACCTGCTCCTCCGGCCTCGGCGCCCGGCTGCGGATCCGCGGGAGCGGCCGGTCGGGACGCGGGAAGGCAGGGCCGGAGACGCCCCGGTCCGGCTGGCCCTCTGGTGTCCCCTCCCTCGGGCTAGGTCTCCCGTTTGTGCTGGGAGGAGCCCCTTCTCCCCGCGCTGGCCCTGCTGGCCGCGTCGTCCCCTTTCACGTTTTCTTTGATCGGTTTTTTGGGGGTTGTTTGGGTTGGGTTTTGATAGGGGGATCAAACTCACAACCTTACACATATCAGTCATGCGCTCGTGCTGCTGAGTTAAATCCCCAGCCCCTGGTTTGTTTTGTTTTGTTTCTGGTACGGGGATCTATTTTTTTGTGTGTTTTTAAGTCAGGATCTCTTCCGTGTATTCTCGGATTCTCGAACTTAGTGCGGTTCTGCCTCGGCCTCCTGAGTGAGTGGTGGGATCACAGTGTGCACCGCCACGCCTGGCTGTTACTTTGCTTTTATTTTATTTGCTTTTTTGCGGCACCTGGATGCGCCGCGGCCTCTGACTAGGCCGGCTCTGGAGCAGGCCTCTGCCCCAGGCAGGATGCGCTGCCGAGGGCCCGGGTCCACCCCAGCCCGCTGCCCGACCCGAGGCCACCCGAGCTCACGGCGTCCTGTAACAGACAGGTGTGGGAGGCTGAGAGTGTGCTGGCTTCCACCCCCAGCCGGTGAACCCCTCCTGAGGAGGGTTTTAATGGGCCAAGCCTGGGGCTCAGACCTGTGACCCCAGCACCCCAGGAGGCTGAGCCAAGCGTTCTGGGCAATTCCGCCATACTCTACGCAAACAAACTAGTGTGAGTCAGGGTCAGTCTCTAGGACACAGAAAAAACACCGTCGACTGTTTCTTATCCTGTACATATTTTCTCCTCGCGTCTTTTCATTTGTTCCGTTTCTGTGGTCAGAGTGAAAGAAATCCCAACTTGGTCCATGTCCACTGTGAGTTTGTGATTTCTAAAGTTGAATGAACCGTAGGAACAACGGAGGCTAAGGGTTAAAAATAGTTATTGGGGAGGAAAGAGAAACAGAAGGGGCTCTGATGGGTCTGCTAGGACCCTTTTCTAGAAACTTTTCTAGAGCAAAACCACGAGTTGAGGCGGCGGAGGAGGTGAAAAAGGTGGGCATGAGGTGGGGCAGGACTATGGTCAAGATTAGGAGTGTAGTTGCTCAGGTAGAATTGGTTAAATTGGGACCATATGGGGAATCAAGAGTCAGAAAAAAGTGAGCCTGAACTGGAACAGGCTTTGCCTGCCGTAGGCGGTGGGGCCATGGTGCTTCCTGGCTTCCTCCAGGTTCAGAGACCTGTTTAGAATATCAATCACCTGCTGTTTATCCTAGGGGAAGAATGTGGGTGCCTGCATTTCAGCTTTTGTGTTGAAGGTTGCCCCGGAGCGCAGGTGTGTCTGCTCTTCTGCCCTGGCTCCTTCTAGGCCCAGGCCCCTCTCTGCGGGTATTTTTTGTCTAAAACTGGGTGTGGTGGCCCACACCTGTAATCCCAGCATTTGGGAGGCCGAAACAGGATGGTGGTAAATTCGAGACCAGCCTGGGCTGTGAAGTGAGCTCAGGCCTAGCCTGAACTGCATACTGAGACCTTGTCTCAAAAAACCACATTGTTTTAAGAATCTAATTTAGTTGCCTGTAAGGAGCACCTGGAGTCTCCTGCCTGTGTGCGCCAGTCCACTCGATGGACGTATCTTTCTGTGCAGTGGCCATGTGAGTGATTTCTAGTTACCTTCCCATGGTGTGGACACATACCTGGAGCGGCTTGTGCAGTTCTTCAACCAGGTAGGAGGTACAGGCCTGTAATATCTACTCAGGCCGAGGCCACAGGGTGTGGAGTTCAAGCTCAGCCTACAGGACCTAGAGGGGACCTCTCAGTGTGGAGAGCGGGGATGGGGCAGGGATGCAGTTTAGTGCAAAGGCCCTGAGTACAGGATGGGGGCTGGGCGAATCTGCTAGGGGAATTGCCCACAGGCCAGTTTCCTGGGCCACTTTATTTTACTTGCTTGTTCTGTGTGAGAGGGACTCACAATGTAGCCTGACTGGCCTTGAATTCTTCTGGAATTTGAAATTTTTTGCCTCAGCCTCCTTACTGCTAGAATGACATGCTACTTGTAGTTTCTCAGGCAGAGGTGACCAGGCTGACATTTGCCCAATGCTGGCAGGAAATAGTTTCCAAGTCCGAGGTCCGTTTGGGTTACCTCCCTTAAGTGGTAAAACTGAATCTTCCCGTCCAGCCCCCTTGGCTTTTCCTGTATTTACAAAACACAAAACCTCTGCAGCTCTCCCAGCATGGGAGCGCCCCCCACACCTTGTGGCTTAAGTCACATTGGAGGGTCACAAGCTGTGTGTGCAGATGCCACCAAGCACCCCTGAGTCCTTGGACCCTAGGCACGTCTGAGATTTTTTTTAGGTTTGAAAAAACTGCCCATTTGTGAGCTAACGAAGTTTTATACCGCAGAATGTAAGTGTTGTGGGTTTGGGGGCATTTCAGATTCAGGATTTCCCAATTCCTCGACCCGCAGCCCAAACTTGGTAGAGTTTTAAAACGGTGCCGGTGGTGGGTGACGAATTCAGATACCCTGCAGGGCGCCACAGTATGTTCAGAATTTTCTGGGCATTGTGTGCTCACTCTGTCACCACAGCCTCCCGCAAGGAGAGTGTGTGTTTGTGGACAGTTAGGCAGCGCTGGCTTTGGATAAGAAAGCACCCTCATTTCTCCCTATTTCATTGCCAGTCCAGTCGCCTTTTATCTTGGTAGGGTTTGTATGTCTTTCTTGGGCTTTTCCACTTCTGGAAGCTTTAGAATCTGGGCAGGACTGGGGCTGCACTGGGAGCTGCGCCCTTTCCCCTTTTTCAGTTTGGAGACTGAGTCTAAGTTTCCCAGGCAAACCTGAGACACCCCCTCCCCCGCCTCATCGTCCCAGTTAGCTGGGGTTACAGGTGGGCGCCACCATGCCCAGCTGTGTAAACCCTTTCAGGTGCTAGGGGGCTGGCTCAGCGGTGGTAGAGGTGCCTAACTGGCCCTCACCATAAACATGCCAAACTGAAAGACCCCTTAGCTAGGAGGTACACTGCTGTAATCCCAGCACTCTGGGAGATGAGGCAGACGAACTGTAAGCGGAAGCCCAGTCTGGACAACGTAAGGATTTAGCAAGACTTGTGTCAAAAAAGTGAAAATAAAAAGGACTGGGATTGTGGGGAGCAGCTGAAGCTCAAGTGTGTGGGGCTGAAGCTAGGCCAGCTCCGAGAACACCCAGGGCCAGGCAAAAGACTGCTAGGAAAGGGGCTGAAATCGGCATCATCTCCTGAGTCTAAACAAAGGTGCTGAGGTTCCTTCCTGGCCAGCAGGAGCGAGGGCTCCACCTGCGTCTGCTTTCTGCTTTTCCTGTGTTTTCCTATCTTGCCGCACCCCACCCCCAACACCTAGGACTGCAGCACGGTTGGCTCCTGGACATGGATGGACTAAGAAAATAGTGGGGGCGCTTCAGCGAGCAGAAAGGGGGAGAAGTGCACTGGGGTCGGTCAGCATCTGTCACAGGAGTGTCTGGTTAGTGGCACCATCAGAGGTCAGACTTGGGACAAGAGGGCCAGAGAGCTAAACAGGCTTAGGAGAAGAGGAGAGAGGAGTGGTTGCTCTTACCGGTTACTGAACATGGGGCAGAGTCCTGTGCTCACCCCTCCTGTGGACCTGGGTCAGTCAGGGAAGGTCTGGTGGTGGTGCGTCCATTGTGGCTGCACAGCTTGCTAAATTTCTTAAGTCTGTTTTCAGAAGGAACTTTAAATGTACAGACTTGGGAGGAAGTGGCCAAGCAGCTTAGAGGAAGTCCAGGGAAAAGGCAAGGCAGCAGAAACCTGTCTGGACCTCTGCAGCCTTCAGGGAGAAACTGCTGCTCTCCCTGCCTCTCACAGAGGGGGGCTGGACCCCAAGAGCTCCAGAGTGAGGTGGAGAAACAATGTTGCTTGTGTCAGCTGCAAGATGAAGTGGGGTTCTACTGTAATACAATGTAGATGGAAAAGCTCTGGTAAGGGATCTTGGAGCCCTGGAGTGGAATGGTTGATGCATTGTGTCAGCTGGGGAGTCAGGAAGCTTGGCTCAGTCCAATGGGGTCCTCACCTTGTAAACACCTTTCAGGGCCTGAGGAGTGGGATGCATGCTGCGCCCACCCTGGGGGGCCGCTTGGAGTGTTGAAGGGAAAAAGGTTTAAGCCCCCCTGTTTTGCTCTTGCTACTTGTTTTTTGTTCCTCTTCCTTCTCCAGTTCAGGGCTGCCCCAGCTGAAAGGGTGCTATAGAGGGGCACCCCCTTTACTGTTTTGAGACAGAATTTCAAAAATTGCCCACGTTCACCATGCCCGGCTTCTAAATAAATGTCCCTTTTTTTGTTTTTGGTAGCAGGGATCAAGAGGATCAAACTCACCTGATACCTTTTGCCCCTGAGCTAAATCCTCAGCACCCCCCCCCCTTTTGTTTTGTGGGGTTGTGGGTCTTTTGTATTTGTTTTTTGGTCTTTTTGAGACACCTGGCAGTTCAGGCTGGCCTTGAGGTCACTTTGTAACCCAGGCTGGTCTGGAAGTTGGACGGATCCTCCTGCCTCTGCCCGCTGTTCACGCCCCAGTGTAGGGGTTACAGGTGCCCTCTGCTTGGTCTGAGTGGGGCCGAGGTGCCCAGTGTTAAGTTCATTTATTTAATTTTCAGGACTGAACCACCTTCAAAGCTTCATGTGCAGAACACGAACTAACCATGGCCGGTTTACTTGCTGTCGAATCCCGGCAGGCGGCTATAGCCCTGGCCTACCTCAGCAGCTCCTGCCCTGCAGCTGGCTGTGGCCACCTTCCTGCTCCTCCTGCCAGCCCAGGTCAGTGCCCAGGGCTGTGCAGCTAGCTACCACTTCAGGTCTGAACTGCTGCACCCTGGGCCTCACCCTTCCTGGGGTGGGACTCTGTCCCTAACTTATGTCCGGTGCAGCTGTGAGCTCTGCAGCTGTGGCCTCTGCCCTGCAGTCACTGTCCTAGAGATTTGCCACGGTGTGCAGAGCTAGCCCAGCTGGGAGGCTGAATGCAGAGCTAGCCCAGCTGGGAGGCTGAATCAGGAGTCTCCTCCCTTCCACCCGCCATCCCACCTGTGTCCCCACTGGCTCCAGGCCATGTCCTCCGTGTGCAGCCCCTGTGCAGGGCAGCTGTGACCAGGAGGCACACCTGCCCTTCTCCCCAGCTGTGCGTTGCCTCAGCGTCCATCCCGGAGCTGCTGTTGCTGCTGCTACCTCCCTCTCCCCCTCCTCAAACCCAAGACAGCATCAGCGTGCCTCAGGCTGCCCCTGGCCATAGGATTGGTGACCACGCTGGCTGTGTCTTCCCATTTGGTCTCTGGCCCTCCACCCCTCTCCTGTTCTCTCTCCTGCCCCTGGGGGAACTCAGGCAGTGCAGGTGGTGGGGCAGAGGTGGAAAGTCCCCATACCCTGCAGCCCTCAGTGACTGAAGCTCCTTGGTAAGATCCTCCCTGTCACCTCGGATTTCTGTGGCTGGCCCATGCATCTTAGCAGTGTTTATTTTCTATTAGGGGAGAAGCTGATGGATGGAAGATCAACCCCTTTCCTCTTTGGGGCCTGTGCGGCTGTTCATGTGGGCTTCATATAAATTCTTAGCACCGGGGATTGAACACGAGGCCGTACTAGGCACGCGCTCTGCCCCCCCAGCTATACTCTCCTCTGGGTGTTGTTTGGGTACTAGAAGCTGAGCCAGGGCCTGCACACTGAGCTGTTTCCTCATCCCTTAACTTTTACTGGGCCCCTTCCCGAAGGAGGAGGCTGGCCCGAAGGCTGGGGAGCACAGTGGAAATGCAGAAGCCGAGCGGCTCACCTCTGGGGGCTGGTACTGGTAATGTGTGTCAGGTGGCAGCCCTTCCTGGGAAGCTGTAACAGCTGTTCACATTGGTGGACACCAACACCAGCATATGGAAGAGCATTTTCTTTCATTTCCCTGTCTTTTAGTTCCCTAGCAAATCTCATATGATCATGAATTCAGGGCCATGTCGGAGGTGGCCCTTTTCCAAAGGTGGTGGCTTCTTAATTCTTCTGGGCCTTAATTTGACAGATTCTCACCAGCTTGGCCAGACTGGGATCTTCCTGCCTCAGCTTCCCCATAAAAAGCTGAGTGGCTTGGGTTCAGGCCTCAGTACCACAAACAAAATGGTTCCTTCAAAGAAAGCATTGCCCAGCAGCCTGGCCTCCCAGTGTGCTGGGATGATAGGTGTGTGCTGCCACGCCCAACTTGGACATGACTTCCTGAGGTTCAGGTTGCAAATTCTTCTTCCCCTTGTTTCTTGTGCCTGTCTTATTTCTGGCCTTTTATGTTAGGTTTTATCTAATACATATCATGTAGTTTACTAAGCTCATTCTTACTGAGTATTTTAAATTCCTCAGTATTTATAGTTTTTAATTTATTTCTTTGTTTCAGGTGACTTTTTAAAAAAAACTTTGAATTTCTGAAGTCTACCCAGTGTGCAAGAATAGATTTACTTTTCCAGAAGAGAAAATCGGTTCTGACAACACAGCCACGATGTCCAGGGTCCGACCCAAGCTGGCGAGACCAGCAGAGGGACAGGAAGAAGTCCACAGGAGGGGTGGGAAGGTGTCCACAGAGACCGACAGGGCGGCTGCCCCGGTCCTGGACCCCGAATACGAGGACTCTTCAGTAGGAGACAGGAACGAGCTCAAGTTCCTAAAGGAGCGGCAGGACCTGGAGTTGGAAGAGGTGATGCAAACCCTCACCTGTCACATAAGGAAGCTTTGGGAAGCAAAAGTGACCACACCTGAAGTGAGGCCTTCAAAGAGCTCCAGCAGAAAGGAGAGATGGGCGGTAAAAGATCCAGCCTCAACCAAGCCGCAGCTGGTGGGAAAGATGGAAGATTCAAAAATAGAAGACACGGAAAGCTTGACCTCTGAAAGAAAACCAGCTGAACTGAGAAGAAAATCAGATGAAGCTAAAGCTCGCGATGCGGACCAAGGGACAAAATCACCTGCAAAAGTCGGAGTCAGGAAAGGCCTGGCAGCAGCCCCACGCAGTCAGGAAGGGCAGAGAAACCGCAAGGTCCTGGGAGAAGTTCTGGACCGAGTGAGAGAAGTGGGGGCGAGGAGGAGCCTCGAGCACCTAAAGGACGCAGAGAAGCCTGGAACAGAAGGAAGACTGCGGGGGGCCGCAGGCGCCTCTCTGACGCTGGCCGCTGACCTGTCCTGGGCAGCCCTGGAGGTCGGCCCGCAGTGGGGTCGCGTCTTCAGCATTTTGAAAGAAAATGGCTTTGACCCTAAGTTTCTGTGCAGGCTTGAACTGGCATTTCGATGTGATGGTGAAACACAGACTTTTTCAGACCTGCGGAGTCTCAGAAAGTTCAGCAGCCAAAAGGCTTTCCTGAAAGATGTGCTGGAAGAGGTTTTCGAACAGAATGCAAACTCCTGCCGAGGAGGAAGCCCACATGGCAGGCAAAAAAAGAGGGTGAGTATACCCCAGCACCTGTGTGTGCACTGCAAAGGGGGGGGGGTGCCGAGCTTGTCTCAAGGTTAAATCCTTTTTTAGAAAAGTTGCTTCCGAGCCAGGTGGGTGGGACACACCTGTAATCCCAGCACTTGGGAGGCCAAGGCCAGCTTGAAGTGCATAGTGATTAAAAAACCCCACCAAATTCTCCTTCAGAGCAGGGTATGGCGCCAGCTCCTTGGGAGGAGCTCCCAGAGCTGGAGCGGACAAGTTGAAGGTCAGCCTGAGCAACTTGCTGAGACGCTGTCTCAAAACTGAGAAAGAGCTGTGTGTAGCTCAGTTTCCTTGGGTTCAGTCTTCAGTATAAAAAACAAATGGTTCCTTTGAAGAAAGTGTTGCCCAGTGGCCTCCCAGGGTGCTGGGGTCAAGTGTGTGCTGAGTACCTGGCCTAGGGCTTCTTTCCTGTCTCTCCTTTTCCTGGTTAGAGGTGCCCACTGTGCGGATGACAGGCTGCTTTTCTCTGCTCGAGCTGTGGGAGATGTGCCATCCAGGGGTGCTGCTTTGACCTTGGCTGCCAGGGGAGCCCCATGTCTTGACACCAGGCTGGGTCTCCTGGCCCCCAGGGCCTTTGAGCTGGCAGGCACCATCCCCCCAATCACCACACCATGCTGTCTGTGAGCAACCCAGCCAGGCAGTGGACACCCTCCTCCTGGTAAAGGCCGAGACAGGAGATGCGGGCATCTGAGTCTAGATGTTGGAAGCTTTGCCTTGGGTGCTGAGCCTGGGTTGAGCCAGCCCCACCCAGTGTACTAGGGTGACCTCCAAGGTGGCACCCCACACTTCATGGTCTTGTTCATGGTTCCATGGCCCTAACAGTCCGAGGCTGCTCTGGTGGACCCTGCTTAGCTGGTAGCTGTGGTGGGATAGGAACCAAACCCGGTTTCCTTTCTGCTAGAGTTTAAAGTGTATCACAGGGGCTGGGGATTTAGCTCAGTGGCATAAACACCTGCTTGGCAAATATGAGGTCATGAGTTCAATCCCTGGTACCAAAAAAAAGAAAAAAAAAAAAAAAGTGCATGTGGGAAAATTAAATTATTCTGGGGGGCTTAAGTGTGCATCTGCCCCTCCCCCCCAGCACAGCATCTAACTGATACAGGGAAACAAAACTAATTGAAGAATGAATTTTAGGAACAACGAGGGTTAAGAGCAGAGTATATTTAGTGAGAGAAAGAAAGCTTCTGTCTGAGGGAGAGACAGTAGGGGTCCCTAGTCAGTTGCTAAGGGCTATCTTTTCTAGGGACTTTTATAGAGCAAAGCAGGAGGTGAAATGGGAAAAACATGAGAACTCACGAGGTGGGCATGAAGTGGGCCAGAGCTATAGTCAGGCAGTAAACTGTGGACCAGTGTGAAACTGACCAAATTGGGGGGGTGGGGATGGGGAAGCCAGTCAGATAGCCAGTGGGCGCTGCAGCGACTCTTCCTGTAGGGGTCAAGATGGTGACTCCTGGCTCCCTCACGGTGATCCGGACCTATTTAGATTATCAGGACTTTGGGTGTGGTTGCATTTGTTCTGCCTTTTGTCTTAGGATCCGCCCACAGCAGGAAGTGTCTGTCTCCTCCAAGGTCACAGACCCCTGGTCCTCTCTGTGTTGGCCTCATTGGGGCCCAGCACTGTCTGCCTATATAACATTTCTACCTAACTCCGCTGCCTGTAACAGAACCAGGCATCATGCGCCCTCCCTGGAGCCTTGCCTGGCCTTTAGAGCAGCTGGGCCACTGGGTGGCGCCACCACACCCAGCTGCTCTACAGCAGCTCAGCCTCTAAGGCAGCTGCCAGCTTTGCCCAGGCTGGGCTGTTCCAGAGACAGATGTTAAAGCAAGGAGCTCGGAGCACACGCAGACCAAGTGTGGGCCAAGGAGGCGCAAAGAGGCATGAAACTCAGTGTGTTGAGGCATTTTGGGGACCTGTTTCTTCAAGAACGAGTAGCAGGCTGGGGTGATGTGCTATGGAAAGCCTCTGCCTCGTACACGCAGGGCCTGGACTTGATGTCCAGCACGGCCAGTGGATGAATAGGCACCATCCAGCGATTTCCCTAGGTAGTCCTCACTGGCCCATTTCAGCCATGCTCCAGTGTGGTGGATGCCTAAGTGCTTGGCAAGCCTGGCTGAAGCTTTGCTTTCTTTTCCCTTCCAGGACAGCCCCCCAACAACCTTGGAGTGTGGAGCTGGAGATCCAGCGGGTGATGGCTTGAACTTCCTGTTCGTTAAAGAGGTGAAGGTGGCTAAGGCTGCGGAGAAAAGCCCAGCGTCTGCAGCGTGGAAGGGAGAGGAAAGCTCCCAGGTGGAGGAGGAGGAGGAGGAAAGCTGGGGCGAGGAGGATGACAGCTGGGGGGAGGAGGAGGGAGAAGAAACTTGGGGGTCGGAGGAGGAGGAGGAAGATACCTCGGGGACAGAAGAGGACAGAAGAGGAAGCTCTGAGATGGAGGAGCAGCAGGAGGGAGGCCACGGCTCGGTAGTGGAAGGAGAGCCTGAGCAGCAGCGGCAGGCGGCCAGAGGCAGCCCTGGCCGAGAGGGAGGAGAGGCCTCCATGCTGGGTCACTCCTCCAGGGTGAGGGAGGAGGAAGAGCCAGTGCAGGCCCCAGAGGGACAGGTGGAGGAGGAGGAGGAGGAGGAGGAGGAGGAGGAGGAGGAGGAGGAGGAGGGAACCGCCACCTCCCCAGGCCCAGGTACCAGAGTGCGCTTTCAGGGCTCGCTCTGGAGCTCCCTCCCCAAACCTGCGCAGGCACCGTCTGGCTCAAGGGGAAACCTGGATGCGCTGTCAGGAGTCACCAAGTTTGCTGGGAAGGAGAGGAACAGGACCCTGCAGGTAGAAGAGCTGACCCCCGAAGAAGCTGCGTTAATCCAGGAAACAGAAGAGAACTTCAGAAGACGAGTGGTCAGCATCTTGAGGGAGCTACGAGAGGAGGTGGACAACATGGGGCACCGCCAGGCCGTCACTGCGGCCACAGCAGGGAGATGCTCGCTGGACAGCCTGCGCAGCAGGGTGGGCCAGCTCGAGAGCAGAGTGAGCCAGCTGGACGACCAAGTGGAGGAAGTGGCCAGGGCTGCGGTGCAGATGTCCAGGCAGCTGGTGAACAACGACAAGCTGCGAGTCCGGGAGGACAGGTTCAGGAGCACCAACATGCGTGTGATCGGGGTCCCAGAAAAGGACACACGGGAGAATGGAGCGGAGGACATCGTCGGCGAAATCATGGAGGAGAACTTCCCGGACTTGAGTATCGCTGTGGTCAGTGCTCAGCGAGTCCCCGACAGGGTGGACGAGAGAAAGCTCACCCCTCGACACATCCTGGTGACGTTCTGGAGCCCTGGCGAGCGGGAGAGAGTGTTGAAGGCCTCACGGGATCGCGAAGTCACCTACAGGGGCAGGAGCGTCCGGCTGACGGCAGACTTCTCGCTGAGCACGCTGGATGCCCGGAGCCAGTGGCGCGACATCATAAAAGTCCTGCAGGACAGCGGCTTCCACCCCCGCATCCGCTACCCGGCCAAGCTCACCATTGACTTGGAGGGGAAAACAAGAACCTTTTTCGATGTCAACGAATTCAGGAGATTCGTTTCCCGTTTGCCCTCTCTGAAAGAGTTGCTGGAGAATGTTCTTTAGGAGGGAGCAAGTGCCACCGCATAACTCAGGAAGTGGGCAGCCTGAGCGTCTCACCCCCACCCTCCGGGGTCGCCACCAACAGCTCTGCCGAGGCAGGGAAGGACACTGGAAAGTTGGGTTTTTAAAAATTTAATGATGACTATCACAGCTGGCATAGGATGCTTGTTGAGTTTCTTTGTTGATGGAGAATGAACACAGGGTTTTTGCTCTGAGCTACTTCTCAGGTCCTTTTTTAAATTTTTGGGACAGCTCACTAAGCTGCTCAGGCTGTTAACTTGTGACCCTCCTGCCTCAGCCTCCTGAGTAACTGGGATAGCAACCTAAGAGAAGGGTGTGTTTATAATAAAGATTTTTCACTTGAGTAGGCTTCATGTGCTTCTTTTAAAATCCCATTGTACGTGGGTTTTTTTTTTTTTTTTTTTTTTTTTGTCTTTTTCGTTTTTATCGGTACCAGGGATCGAACTCACGACTGCCTGCTTGCAAGGCAGGTGCTTATGCCGCTGAGCTAAATCCCCAGCCCCTCCATTGTACGTTTTTAAAAGTGCTTTTGTCATTCCTGCATCAGCTCTGATTGTTGCAGGAGAAACTGAATCAACTAGCCAGGGGCTCAGGAGAGGAAAAAACATTTTATTGAGACCAGCCAACCCCAGAGGAAAAGTCTCCAAAGTCCAAGGTGGTGATTACACAGAATTGTGTTTTCTGTTTTAGTTTTTTGTTTTTTTTTTTTGAGACAGGGTCTACTATGCAGTTCAGGCTGGCCTTAATCACTGAATTCGAGACCAGCCTGGCCTACATAGTGAGACCCAGTCTCAGAAAAATAAAATAAAAATTCCCTGGCCCACCAGTACCTGGCTTCACGCCGGTACTGCCTGGTGACCCAGGCAGGTCCCCTGATGCTCCTGGGGCGCAGGCACATTAGACCACCACCCACTCCCTCCCTGGTAGAGCTTATGTTCAGGTACATATGTTCCTGACATCTGACCCTTAGGAGATGGTGATCACACTAGCCTGCCTCAGCTTCCCACTGCTGGACAATAAAAACAAAACAGTGGGAAGTGCCCATCTCTGGGGAGTGCGGCCATCAGGGACCCTAAAGCCCTTGCCGAGTGCCTGGCCCTGGGTGCTGTGACTGCAGATGTAGTCCAGCCTGGAAGGTGTCACAGCTCAGCCAGGATGTGCTGGGGAGGAGGCTATAGGTGTGTGGAGGCACTCCTGAGAACTGGGTGGGGCTCTCTGGCTTTGGGGTGCACATGTAGCTTTCTTGAGTTGATTCTAAATTAGAGACAAGAATGGTGAAGACCTGTTTCAAAGAAGCAGGGCCTGGGCACACACCTTTAATCCCAGCACTTGAGAGGCTAAGACAGGAGGATCCCTGCAAGTTTAAGGCCAGCCTACAAGATACAGCAAGACCCTGTCTCAAAAACCTAAACTGAAGGAGATAATTCTGTTGAAAACTGAGTTTCCCCCAAATCCAAATCCATTGCCTGAGGAATCTTGAGCTCTTCACAAAAAAAATGAAACAAATGAACACAGCAGGAGCTTAAAGGACCCCAGTGGGTGGGTGAGTACCTGGGGCTCTGTTGGTGCCCTCCTGGGGAGAGGTGGGGAGCAGATGGGAGGTCACCTCTGCACCTAGAGCTGAGTAAAGCCCTATGGCGGCTGAGCACTGAGGGGCCTGCTCCCCTGGGGAGAAGACTAACCAGGGCTGTGTGAAATACACAGAGGGTGTTTACATTTTATAAAAGATTACTGCAACCAGAAACATTTGTTACAGTGAGAAGCACCAGCATGAGCCCTCACATCCCTCCCCTGGTTTCACACACTAGTCCAGCTGCTTTCTGAGCAGCTCTGGGGAGCACTCTTGAGGGCCTTCAGCTGCGGCGTCCTCACTGTCTCCAGCACATGTCCTGTCCCTTCCATGGTCATCAGTTACAGACAGCATAGGTTGGGTAAAAAGGAGAGGCAGTGGACACAGCTGGGCCCTCCAGGGAGTGGGTTGTGCACCAGCCCCACTTCTCAAGGAAGTTTGTGAGGAAAGCCAAAAGGTGAGGCAGATTCAGGGTGCGACAAAACTATAGTAATCAGATGAGTGCAGTGGCTCAGGTGACAGGACATGGGAAGGGGGCCCAGGGCGATGCGGTGAGGGGCGGGGCTTTCCTGCAGGAGGGTAAGGAGCTTGGGCCCCCACCCAAGGCCATGGGCGTGGACTTGGCGCATCAGTCTCACCCAGCCAGTGTGCGGGTGCAGTCACCCTGAAGCCCAACTGTTCTGCACCAACCTTCGGAGGGCCCTGCCCTGTCTGCCTCGATATTTCTAAGTTAGTTCGCTGTCATCTGCGATACCAGAACTGCTTCAAAAAGTGTCGACAATGGAGCAGCTGTATTTGAAGTGAGGGGGAATATTCTAAAGAGGACTAATGGCAATGTTTTATTGTAATAAAGTTTTAAACATGAAGCATATATTCTGACCACACATATATTCTAATTAAGAAAATTTTATTTAGTTACCTATATTTGAGTAGAGTCTCATTATGCAGTTCAGTCTGGCCTTGCATTAACTATGTAGCTCAAGCCCAAACTCAGGGATTCTCACGTGGACTCACTTTGTAGCCCAGGCTGGTCTCAAGCTTGCCAGGATCCCCTGCCTCAGCCTCCCGAATGCTGGGATTACAGAGGAGCACCACCACACCAGGCTGAACTCTCATCTGTCCCTTGGTGCTTTTTGTGTGTCTGCTAAGCTAATTCTGGGCTGAGCATGTTTTGAGGGGAACGATGGGTCAGGAGGAACGGATTGGGGAGAGGGGATGCAGGAACCTCCATAATACCCGAGGTTCAGGCTGTCTCCTAAAGGCACTTCATGAACCATGATTTTCCTGGTCACCTCTTGCCTACCTTTACTCCTCTCCTGCACGGTGACTCCTTATTCTTCAGGGAGGCTGAGAGGCCGGAAGTCACCTCCCAGGTGCCCACCGCCCAGCAGGGCCCGGAATCTCGCTCTGACCTGGTGACTCCAGGCTCAGGCCCTGTTGCGCAGAGAACACCGAGTTTTGATGTCGGAGCAGCAGATGGGTGCAGGGTGTTCCCCAGGAGACCGCGGTAGGCTGGGGGCTAGGGGGCTGACAGGAAAGCAGAATCCTGAGGAGCAGGCTGGGGGCTGCAGGAAGAAGCCTCCCCTGGCCTCGGCCCAGTCCCGGAGCTGGGGCCACACTGCACACATCCAAGGGGCCTGCAGGCAAAGACACCCCAAAGGGAAGGAGGTGCTGGAAAGCCCCAGTGGTGACAAACCCAGACAGGGCAGCACCGGCAGCCCGAGGATGGTGCGGGAGCCCAGGTCTGCACAGCCTCCCCCCCTGCCAGAGGGGAGGGAATCCTGGTTCAGCCTCCCAAGTGCTGGGATGACAAGTGTGCACCCCACAACTGGCTTGGTGTCATCGTTGGAAAAAACAGGTTTCCTCGAAGAAGTCAACTAGTTTAAAATAATCAGCACCGCTGCAAGGCTTCTATAACCGAGATCTCCTGGGTGCTGAAAATGTTACTTCCTGTACTGAGACTGCTTTTGCTGAGCTTCTCCATTAAAATGAAGTCTGAAGTGCCTTGCAGGGTCTCAATGGATGTCGCTCTCTCTCTCTCTCTCTCTCTCTCTCTCTCTCTCTCTCTCTCTCACACACACACACACACACACTCTCACAGCGCCTCGGCCCCCCACTCCCCGCCACCCCCCAGGCTCCTTGTCCTGCTGGAGAGGCTGCATCCCATCCAGTCATGGGGCTGCCTGAGGGCTCCACGGGTGCCCCTGCAGCACGGTGACCACTTGGTGGCCGGTTCTAGATGGCAGATGCACAGGAGGGGTGTGGACAGAGGGTCAATGCCCTCAGACTTGCCCCGTCCACTCACAGGCAAAACCAGGGCTGAGGGATGGTGGCGACCAGGGGCTCCGTGTGGCCAGTGCTGAGAACCCTGCGGGCCCACCGCACTTTTGGGCGAGGGTGGCATTGCCCCCAGAGGTTCTTCTCATCCCAGTGAGTGAGTGACAGGCGAGTCACAGGCTGTGGTTTACTGTGACTAAATGCCCATGAGAAACTGAAGGCTAGCACGGGACCTTCCACACTCGCTGCCCCACATCTGGTAAGACCACTATGTCGGCTTTCCAGGTCACAGTGGTGAAGGCAGGCCATGCGGTGGGGGGCGGACCTCCTCCCCTCAGCTCTCTCTCCCACGTCTGCCTCCAGGAGTCCTTGGTGGCAGCTGCTTCACTTGGCTCCCCTTGTCTTGATGGCCTGTCTGTCCACTGTCCCCTCCTGGTCCCTGGTTGTCCACAGCACTGGAGCCTGAACCCAGGGCCTCACTCTGAGCTATTACATCCTCAGCCTTTTCTTACTCTTTCTATAGTTTTCTTTCTTCCTGCCTGCCTGCCTTCTTTCCTTTCTTAGTTTCTTTCTCTTTTCTTCTTTCTTTCCTTTTTTTTTCTCTTTTCTTTCCCCTTCCTTCCTTCCTTCCTTCCTTCCTTCCTTCCTTCCTTCCCTCCCTCCCTCCCAGGAACCAAACCCAGGAACTTGCACTTGCCGGAGGAATGCAGCATCACTGATCTATATCCTTGACCTCTTATTTTTTCTTTAACACAAGGTCTAAGTTGCCCAGGCTGACTCCAGCTTGTGATCTTACTGCCTCAGCCTCCCAGAGTACTGGATTTACGGGGAGCCTGCCTCACCTCCTCAAATCTCCCCATAACAGAAGTTGAGGGACTCAAAGCCTCTTGCCCCTGTATAAGTCTTTCACTTCTTTCGTAAGAGTAATTCCTAAATATTTCATTTTTTTGGTTGCTAATGTGAATAGTCCAGTTTGTCTTATTTCCCTCTCTGTGATTTTGTTGTTCGTGTATAGGAATGCTATTGATTTCTGAGTATTGATTTTGTATCCAGCCACATTACTGAATTTATTTATTGTATCTAAGAGTCTTTCAATGGAGTTTTGGGGGTCTTCTATGTAGAGTATCATGTCATCTGCAAACAATGATAATTTAACTTCTTCATTTCCTATCTTTACCCCTTTTATTTCTCCTTCTTGCCTAATTGCTCTGGCTAGTACTTCCAGTACTATATTAAATAGGAGTGGTGATAAAGTCCTGTAATGCTCCCACGATCTTGTTTTGACTGATTAGACTCTGTTCCATTCTGTATGATAGTATCAAGTTTGAGGATATAGGCAACTACTTTGAAGGCAATAAGATTCACTAAGATACCCATTCTGGTTTGACTATTGTCTTCTTTGGAAGTCCTGTAATGTTTACAATGCCTAAGTTTTATTGGTCTTGTTCTCTGCTGTTTTGTCCAACTTTGTAATATCTAATGAGATAGACAATTCTTTTTAAGGAAACAAGAGACAACGTTGATAACCATTGTTGATAACCTTGTACTCTGTTCTACATCATGTGCTATGTCTATCCTTGGTTTTGACTGACAGCTTTGTTTTGCCATATTTGACTGTATTCTCTCCCCCCCAAAAAAGTAATAAGCACTAAGGAGTAATAAAATCCAAAATGTGTAAATTTTGTTGTAAAAAAGAGAGGGAAAAAAAATAAAAAGAGCTCTAACGGATATAACAGCAAGTGTATTTAAGGGTGTTAAATAGCTGACTATATCAATGTTTTTGAATCATTGAACACAGCTGTTTGCAGTCTCCCTGTTTGAATGTCCACCTTGTATGCTTTCATACTGTGATTTGAGCAACTATTTTCAAGATGATAATATGTAATCTATTAACAGGTGATTTCTTACTGTTATTGTTTTTTTTTGTAGTTCTGTATTACGTGTACCCTTACACCGCTTTGTTTTGTTTTGTGTTTTTCTCTTTTTCCTCTTAAATAAAATTTAAAAAAAAAAAAAAAAAAAAAAAGCCTCTTGCCCCGACCACAGGCTGAGCTGCTCCTTTTCTAGTGTTCTGGGGAGCTGAGGCCCCCCTGGGTGTCCAAGGCCCTGCTTAGACTCTAGTACTGCCTGGGCTGAGTGTGAAGAGTTCACAAATGTCTGCATGTAAAAAAAACCTAACTAGTGGAAGATGCATCCCCATGAATCCCTCTCCAAAGCCTCCCCCAAGCTGTACACACTTCCTGCGGCAGCTATGAGCTCTCCCCCAGGGGCTTCATCTGTGCTGTCCTGGCTGCCTTGAAGTCCCAACTGGGTTGAAAATGGGCCTCTTTAGTGGTCACTTTGACTCGGGAGGACCAAGTCACGCGGTGAAGGTGGGCGGGGACAGCTTCGTGTTTTCAGGCGCTGCCTTTCATCGGAGGTGCCTGGTGCTTGTTGGCAGCGGCAGACATAGTAGATCAGACTTTGTAAGGAGCCTCAGGAAAGAGCACTTCCAGCGCTGTCTGTGGTCTCAGGTGACAGAGTTTTTAAACAGGGGACCTCGTGGAAGTTGCCCCCCTAGTGCGACATGCGGATGGCACCCTGGGGTACACCGCCCATGTGGCTCGGTTGTGGCCCTGCAGGCGGGGCAGCAGGGAGATGGGGCAGGGCCTGGTGGCAGCTCCCAGCCCCCTTCGGGGGACCCTGCTTGGAGCTCCCAGGACGTCCCCGCCTGGCTCTCGGCCCCCACGCAGGGCTAGGCGGATTTTCCTCCCGCACCTTTCACGCTGTGGGGACTTTCGGCCTCTGCTGTCTCGTTTGGCGCTAGAAAGAGGCTCAGGACCGAGCGCAAAGAAACAACGCTCAGACAGGAGACGGAGGGCAGCGTTTTAATAGAGACCCCAGGGACAGCCCGGGGCTTCCGAGTGCGGCCCAGCATCCCCAGGGTCCCGGGACACGGGACCCCACCCCCTGCACGCCGCAGGCCCAGGGGTTCGGGGTCACTGCGAGGACGGCAAGGCGGCCTGCGTGCCCACCCACGGCGGCTCCCGCGCTCACAGCCAGCCACGGAAAGCGTGCCCGGCTCCTCCACTCTCCCGGCGAGCAGCGCCCACGCCGGCACCGTTCCCGCAGGGAGACCCAGTGTGAGCAGCCTTCCCGGTTCCTCTGAGGGCAGCCTGCCGATCTGTGCCTCGCAGACAGGCGAGGAGGCCCAGGGAGGTCGCGGGGAGCCCGCCGCCCCGCCTCTGGGAAGCCGGGCACACGGCGGGGCACGGGCGCTTCAGCCCTTGGTGTGCAGGGGAGTTCTCCGCACAGGAGACTTTAGGAAGACCGCGTGCACAGCGGCCTGGGCAGCGCTGGTCCGGGCAGTGCACGCAAGGCCGGGCAGGAGCTGGGCCGGTGGAGGGGACACCCCACTTGCGCCCCCCCGCTCGGCCCCGGGGCGGCGCGGAGGCCGCGTCTCGAAGGACAGCGACGCCCGCCAGGGAAGCTCGCGCTCCTCCAGGGCTAGGGACGCCGGCGACCCCGCCTCTGCCCGCGACACGTCCTCGGAATGCGCGTCCTGCTCGGCCCCGCGCTCCCAGCCGTGACCCGAGCGCGCCCCGCTCCGTCCACCCTGACGACGGCGGCCCAGAGGGGCGCTGGCCGGTTCCGGCCTCCAGGGGGCGCCCGCGCCTTCTGCAGGGCGCACGTCGGTCACCGGGTCAGGCACCGCGGGCCGCAGGCGTGGGGTCCGCGCCCGAACCGGGCGAGGAACCGGCCTCCGCGGCGAGCGGCCCGGCACCCTCAGGGCGAAGCTGCGGACCCGGCAGCTCCTCTCGGGCAGGCGCGTCCCCCTGGGCGCCGCTGCCCAGGCCTCAGTTGGGCTCCGGGCCCGGGCGCCCAGGCCGCTCCGCGTGGGCCCGCAGCAGTCCCGCGATTTCCACGTGGGCTGGAGACTGCAGCGCGATGGACAAGGCGGTGCGGCCAGCCTGCGGGGGAGAAGAGCAGACGGCGTCACCCGGCGCGGGGCCACGCTGAGTGCACGGAACCCCAGGCGGCAGCCGCGCCGGAGCCAGCTACTGAAAAGCAGGCCCACCCAGCTTTCACTCTTTTCTTTTTTGCTAGGGCCCCACTGTACCCTGAGCTACCTCGCCAGCGGCCCCATCCCCACCCTGTGTTTGAAGTTATGTTGAGCCAGGAACTAACTACTTGGGAGCCATCTACTTGGGATCCTCCTGCCTCAGCCTCTTGATCCCAAACTCTGCAATCTAAATGATGAGTTCTGGGGGGTCAATGACCCTTATCAGCCAAAGACACACTTGCAGTTATTGGGCGGGGGGGGGGGGGGGGGCGGGACACTCCGTGTGGCTGCAGAATGTAAATGGAGTCAGTAGGCGGCAGCAGCGAGACCTGCCTCCCATTCTGCTTCCGGAGAGGTGAGAAACCCGCTCCTGGGCCAGGCAAGAGTTAACACCCAGTTTCACAGCCAGGATGGCTGTGGCCTGCCACTGCCACGACTATCAGGATCCTGCAGCCTCACAAGTCACAAACGCAGTGTGACTGTGACGGGATTAGCCCGACAGCTTAAAGTGGTGGTGGCTGCCAGGGTGGGCGGTGACCTCCGGGAGCCCGGTGCTTGGCCTGTGACACTGGGCTTCCTGACAGCAGTGCACTGGGATGACAGAGGTCAGAAGGGCTTGGCGCTTTGCACACCGGGTGTGTCCAGGCCTGTTAGGGACAGACCCCACCAAAAGCCCGGCGGGAAGCTTGGCAGTGTCTCACTCGCACCTCAGGCGTAGTCTGACTGGGGAGATTCCAGTCAGTGGACAGTTGGCTGAGGTGAGAGGGGCAGCCTAACCCGCAGGTCTCCGACAGCAGGAGCTGAAGCTGGGTTCAGCACTCAGCGCTGCCGTGTGCAGCCCAGTGGGGAGCTGGGGGCTTCTGTGTGCCGACCAGGACACTGTCACCCTACAGGTGCTTCTGTAGGAGGTGCCTGCCCAGGCTCCTTGCACTCAGGAGGCTGAGGCAGGAGGAACACAGAGTTTGCGGCCAGCCTGGGCTACATATTGAGACTGTCTCAAAAGCACAAAACCAGGCTGGGGATTTAGCTCAGTCACTCAAGCACTTGCCTGATAAGCACGAGGTCATGAGTTCGATGCCTGGTACAAAAAAAACAAAACACAAAACCAGCCAAAGAAGCCTTTGTCAAGCAGCCTGGCCCAGTGACCTGGCTGCCCGGTAGTGCTAGTCGGTGGCAGAGAGGTGCTGCCTTTTAGCGACCTCTCCTGGGCTGGCTGCACAGTCCCCACCACACAGCAGAGCTGGCCTGTCTGGGCCACTGCCCACAGCCGGTGGGTTGGGACGGCCAGGCCTGGGCACCTCCCTGGGATGGGGCCCCAGCTATCCCGGTATCCCGGCTCTCATGCCCCCAGCGTTCACTGCCTGCCACCTCCTTCTCTCCAGTGCCCCCCCCCCACCCCGCCGCCCACCACCACCACCATCTTACCTTGTCGGCCAGGCTGCTGTCGCAGGACGGCTGTGCCAGGAGCAGCTTTACCAGATCTGCGTTGCCATGGCGACAGGCCAGCATGAGGGCCGTGGCACCCTCGTGGTCCTGCAGGTTGACATCTGCCTGGCAATGCAGCAGCGCGTGCACCATGTCCCCGCGGTCATGGCTGACGCCCAGCATGAGCGCCGTTTGGCCTCCCTGGAGTGACCACAGGTACAGTGAGCTGGCCCTGCTTCCTGAGATGGGACCGGAAGCCAAGGGTCCCTAGCATCCCCGGGGCCACTGCATGCCTATCACTGCCATCACCGGGTCCCCCACTCTCCTTGCACTCAGACTGGGACCAGGACGTTGCTGGGGACAGGGATGGCCCTTGGTGACCTGGGTCCTGTTCGCCCTTGAGAAGAGCCGGGTGATGGTGATGGTGATGGGGTGAGCTCCCCTACAGGGTGCGTAGGATGAGAGCCACGCATCCGAGTGGGGGGTGACCACAGTGGCAGAGGGGGTAACCACAGTGGAAAAGGGGGTGACAAGAGCACTGCCTCTGCTCAGGCCACTCCGCTGTCACTCAGGAGTATGTGGTGCAGAGGGGCTTGTGGGGCTCAGACTCTGCTTCCAGGGGGCTCCTTCCCCTGGTGCACACCCAGGGGAGCCCAGCACATTCTGCCCTTTGTTCTGGATTATCTCAAAGACCACGGTAAAGTGGGCAGCAGCGGAAAGTACTGTGTGTCCTGCAACACCAGTGTACAGTGCGGGCAAGAGTCCCCAGAAGGGCCATTTAGCAGTTCCTGCCAACCCTGTAAGAGGCGGGGCCTTGAAGAGAGGAAGTGACATCATGGGGCGTGGCCTAGAAGGGCTGTTGAGCCCACCCTTTCCCCACTCTTTGTTCCCTGGCCCTCCTTAGGTGAGTGGCCCTGCGGGACTGTGCATTCCCCCCATGAGGCTCTGTCTGGCCACAGGCCCAAGGCATTGGCACCAAGATGCCATGCACTGAGCCTCTGGAACCGTGAACCAAGTAAACCTTCCCTGTGTGACACAGGCCATTCTGCTCTCCCGAGCTGCACTCCAGCAGCCCACTTCAAGTCAGCTTAGATCAGTGTTGGAAGCCAGCATGGCGAACTGCTCTGTGCTCCCAGCTGAGTCCCATCCACTCTGAGGTGGGCCCTACGGGCTCAGACAGCAGGTGCCCTCCCAGTCTGGCCCACAGCCAGAACCAGGACGTGGTCCACACACCTGTGATGCTGTGTCTACTCTGCCCTGTGGGGAGTCAGGGCTATAGCAGGTGCGATATGCTTGCTTCAGGGACAGCCATGCCCTTACCAGCCATGCTCCTGCCAGCAGGACTCTACAGTGGCTTTCTGGGGAAACTGAGGCCGGGAAAGGAGGCTCCCACAGCCCCAGGACTCAGAAGCGGCCCTCCTGTATGCCCCAATCCTCTCCATCAATCAGGCTGGGGCTCGTGTGAGTGTTAAAGCCTTTGGAGAAGCACAGGGTGATGAGGGGATTTTGTCAAGGCCCTCTAGAATCTTGGCCTGGTCAGGGGCCCTAGTCAAGGCCAAGGTCACCTAGGATGCCCAGGACCTGAGGCAGCGGTTCACAAAGCCCACCTTGACCCATGGTCTCCCTGCTTGCAGGCTTGGCTGCCACAGGATGAGACCCTGGGCTCCCAGGATGCAAAGTGTCCAGGGTTGGCACGGACTCCTGCCTGGGCCCCACTTGCTTGGGCAGGAGCACGTCCCCCACCCACCTGTGTGGCCTGGACATTCACGTTCCCTTCGCGCAGCAGCTGCCAGACCACGGCCATATCCTCGGTAGTCTCCGCAGAAGCCAGGGGCGTGATCATCACAGCAGTGTAGCCGGCTTTATTCTGGCGGTTCACAGCGCAGACGCCTATGGAAGGAACCAGATCACTGCGGCCAGGGTAGCCGGACGCCGCCACCACCATTCTTACATTAAACAATGAGGAGTATTCTACATAGAATGAAAACACGCCTGTATGTCAAGATGATGTAGTCAGTGGAATTTAAAACAAAAACAGCACGTGCCTATAATCCTGGCACTCGGGAGGCTGAGGCAGGAAGATGGCCACGAGTTCAAGGCCGGCCAGGGCTACATAGCGAGACCTTGTCTCAAACCCCCCAACCCAAAATCACTGTCCCATGGTGTGGGCTCCCAGCTCCTCACCACAAGAGCAGTCAGGTCACACACAGTGATGGTTGGTTTAAGTGACGCCACCACACTGGGCAACATGGTGGAAACCACCCCAGTCCCGGTGCTGCCGCTGAGCACAGAAGCCTGCAGCTCTTGGGGGTCTCCGCAGCATCCTCTGTAGTGCACCTGCTCTGCAGGAGGGGAAGCCCACAGCCACCTCACAGGCAGTGGGCCCTTTCTGGGGACCTCACAGAAATGCACGGTGCAGGGGCTGGAGGTTTAGCTCAACGGCATAAGCGCCTGCCTTGGAAGCAGGCAGTCGTGAGTTCGATCCCTGGTACCAATAAAAACGAAAAAGACAAAAAAAAAAAAAAAAAAAAAAAAAAAGCATGGTGCAGACAGTGGGCCTCACACAGAAAAGCTGGGCTGGCTGGACCAGCAGCCCAGCAGCCCCTAGCCCTCATGTCACCTCTCAGCACCATCCTGGAAGACAAGGACAGGCACCCACCTGGCCATAGGCAGCTGCACTTTACCCTTTGACCTCTGGAGTTTGCTCCAAGCTGGGTGCACAGGACAGAGGGTCGCAGAGTGAGGCCTGGCCCCTCCTGGGGCTAGGACAGGGCTGAGTGGGGATGGACTCTGCGTCTGCTCTTAGTGGTGACTGCAGTGGCCGCAGCACGAGGCTCCCCCAGGGCCATGGCTCCCACGCCACAGAAGGGACACAGGCATCAGCTGCTCCCACATCCACAGCACCCAACAGAGCTGTGGGCCTCTGAGACCATCACAGGTCACCACAAGGAAGGGTGAGTGTGGCCCTCTCAGACCCAACATAGGGAGACGGGAAGCGGTGACTGTCCCGGGGCTATGTGACACAGCTCTGGGCTGGCACAGGCCAAGCACAGAACATGCTCTGCACACCTGGCACCGTGGCCTGGGTGAGTTTCACAGCTCTCAGGAGAAAAGGGTTTCCTTAACTGCACAGCGTGAACAGTGCGGGAGGGGCCCTGGGCCACCAACAAAATGACCAGTCTAGCTCCTGGCATGCAGGGGACTCAGGGAGGACTCTCCCTGCTGGAAAGACGTGTGTGTCCTTAGCATAGTCCCAGCTAGTTGGCAGGCTGAGGCAGGAGGATTGCTTCAGCCTAAGAGCCTGGACAACATGGTGAGACCCTGTCTCTTAAAAGAGAAGTAAGGTGGCCTTGGAGGAGGCCCCGGGACGGTGGGGGAAGTGCACTGACCGGTGTCCAGCAGCAGCTTTGCAATGGGGAAGTTGGAGTGGGACACACTGTAGTGCAGTGCCGTGTTCCCATTGCCATCTGCCAGGTTGACCAGCAGCTTCAGGAGATGTGGAGACAGCGGCTGCACCTCGAGGAGGTAGGCGGCTACCACGGCAGGGCTGGATGACTTCCGGCTGGATACACGGAACCACTCTTGGCTGACGGTGTTCAAGCTTGGCCCCTGAGACCCAGAAGAGTCTGGTTCCACGGGGTTCCCTGGGCAGGAGCCCAGGATGAGCCAGTACAGGGTGCCTCACCTTGGCCTCCCTGCCTCTGCCACAACAGCCACGAGCATTGCAGTGACGCACTTTGGACATGGATGCCACCCCCAGAGAGGAGGTGGGTGGGGACCAGGGACAGGGCTCTCGCCAGGTACCCGGCCACCATGCATGGTTTAGACGCCCGCTCACAGACCCCTGGCTGTGCTGCCTGATTCCAGGGACCCTGGCCACCCCCACATGCAGCCCCCTCCACCGCCACAGCCTGCCCTGTGCCCCAGACTCTGCCACCCCAACAGGCCCCCCACACTACCCCTAGCTGTCTTCATGTGGCGATTAGAAAGGGCTGTACCAAGAGCGGGTCAGTGGCCACAGTTTCCAGTGGGTGTTGGCCTAGGGCCCGGCAGGCGCTGAGGAACTCTTCCGAGGGTTTGCACCTGGAGAGGACAACAGGAAACCGTGCAGCCATCACCTGGGCGGGGAGCAGACTTCCTCCTCCTCTTCCACCACCCGGCAAACACTGCTGTCCATGGAAACCAGGGGATGGCAGTGTCCCAACAGCACCTGGCTGCAGGACAGTCCTGAAGGACATGTGATGGCCCCCCACCCTGCTTTGTGTGGCCAGGGCAGAGGGGCCCAGTGTGCATCCAACCCTGGGCAGGGCTGGCGATCCTCACTGCTCAGGTGAGGAAACTGAGGCGGCCACTGATGAAGAACCTGGCCTTGGCAGAGGTGGGCTGTGGCCACTACAGCAGCATTGTGTGCTGTACAAGACAGGGCTGTGTCCATGTGGCCAATGGGGTCGGCAGCAGAGCCATGTTTCTGGCTTCACTGCTGCACCTCTGTGCCTCAGTCTCCACATCTGCAGTGCAGGGGGACCATGCATGACAACAGCCACAAGGCACTCCCATCACCAAGGTGAGGGGACACAGGCTTTGCATGAAGAGCTCAATCCTGACAAGTCTGTGACTGCAGGGGTCATATCTGTTCAGTCCAGACAGCACGGGAAACACAAACTCTGTGGACACTGCAACGTGGGGCGGGGTGTGGATGAGTGGATGGATAAATGGATGTGTGGACAGATGGATGGGTAGAGAGAAGAGCAGATGAGTGGGATGGATGGATGGACAGATGACTGGGTGGATGGGTGGGTGGAAGGATGGATGGATGTGTGAATGGATGGATAAATGAATAGATAGACAAGCAAATGAGTAGAATGGATAGATTGGTGAATGGGTGGATGAATGCATGGATAGATGAATGAGTGTGTGGTGAAAGGATGGATGGATGGATGTGTAGATGGGTGGATGTATAGATGTATTGGTGGACAAATGGACAGGTGGGTGGGTGGATGAATGGTTGGGTGGGTGGATGGGTGGATGAATGGATGGATGGATGGATGGATGGGTACATGGATATATGAATGAGTGGGTGGATGGATGGATAGATAGATGAATGTGTGGGAGAATGGGTAGATGAATGAATTGGATGGATGGATGGATGAGAAGATGAGTGGGAGGGATGGATTGATGAATGGGTGGGTGGATGGATGGATGGGTGGCTGGGTGGGTGGACAGAAGGGTAGACATTCACCCTCACCCCCCACTCATCCTCATGCCTCACCTCTCAGGCTTGGGGTGGGGAGTTCCCTCCTCAGTCCCACTCTCCCGGGCTGTGCTCTGGGTAGCCTCAGGGCGGGCCTGCTCAGTGTGGGTGTCCCCATCCCGCAGGCACTCTGGGTCGCTGCACTTCTTTTCAGCCTCGCTGTCAGACAGGTCCTCAGGGGAGCTGTCCTCACCGCTGGTTTCCTCACTGGAGGTAGTCTCGTAGCTACAGAAGGGGGCAAGGTCATGGTCCATCCTTCCTTCCTGCGTCAGCACCCCACGTGCAGTGGGCCTCAGCCAAACCTCTACACCTACACCCACAGGACAAGGAGGTGCCTGGGGTCCTAGTTGAGACCCAGAGGGCAGAGCTCTGGCTCATGCTGGAGGCCAGGCCATCAGGGGAAAGGTAACAGATGGACAGTGCCCTAATACACGTTCAAGGCTGAGGTCTCAGAGCCGTTTGTTTTTGGAATTCCCTTATGAGTTCCCCGAAAAGCTTGAAAAGTCTTCTCCTTCTTGTGGAAGGGGACCCTTCCCACCCACCTGCTCTGGACAGCAATGGGAGAACTCAGGGCTCTATGCAGCTCCCCAGTGTGGCACCTGGAGTGCCTGGGGCAGTGGAAGTGAAAGCCTGGCTGCCTGACTTGGGGTACCCTCTCCGCAGGGTTCCCAGGCTTAGCCTGAGACCCTACCACGTGGTGACATGAGGGTCACAGAAGATTCCATGACTCCAATAAAGGACGCTAGTTTGGGGGCACTGCACACAGCACAGGGACTGGTGGCCGAAGCTTTCCCCAGACCCCTAAAGTGCTCCCTCCGAGCAGTGGCCATGCCTGAGGCCCTGGGCCTGGGTTTGCAAGCCTGGCCTGGCCCCTGTCTGCTTAAACTCACATCTCTCCTCTCCTGCGCTTGGGACAGACAGCCTGGTGCTTCTGGGATGGACAGGCAGGGCCACGTGACACTATCACAGCGCTTGGCTTAGCACAGTTTCTGGGAAGCTCCCAGAAGTCCTATGCTCAGTGAGCACTGCTGTGGCCGGAATAGTGAACGAGACAGGACAAAGTGGGGGAAGGCCACAGACCCATGCCATGTACAGAACCACACAGAGCTGCGTCTTCCTGAGTGCTTGGCACACAAGTCAGTCACACAAAGGCCCAGGACTGGGGCCACGCTGCCCAGAGCTTGCCTCTGTCCCCACGGCTGAGGCCACTGCACGGGACCAGCACACTCCGCACTCCAATCCTCGAAGGCTGGCACCAGGCCCTGGCATGTGCTGAGCCAGGCCACTGCAGGAGCTGTGACCCAGTCCCTCTAGACTGGGGCACAGAGGTCCCTGTATCAGGCCTCGAGGTGAGGCTGGCTCTCCTCGAACAATGGCATCTCACTGGCCACATAGCACCTCCCTGTGACTACTCCACTGTCATTTCTGCTGCCACTCATGGGACTTCCATCATAACGCCAGCCCCCTTTGCCTCCAGTGTTGTCTCTAACGAGGTGGCCCCATCCCGCCTCCTGGTCACCAGTAAGCATCCCGAGCGTCACCCCTCTTCTTTGTTTTCTGACTGGCCTAGGATGGGACACAGGCACCCTGACTTCACTTACGCTGCTCCCCTGCCTGGTGGCCCGTGAGATTCTACCTAAGCATCTGCATCCCCGGGGGGCAGCTCACTAAGAATGGTTCCTGGACTGTACCGGGTCCAGCACCCACACCCTGGGCCACAGGAGGTGTGGCCAGGGTCCACAACACCAGACAGTGCATTTTGCACTGCCCAGCCTGGGTTTGGCTCACAGGAAGTTAAAGGAAAAGCGGTTCTATAGGTCAGAGGTGAGGGTCAGCAAATCACCAGACCCTACACCAGGGTTAGTGCTGTGGTTTGGGTCTTGGCCGCCCTGAAAGGGCTCATGGGCCCCTAAATCCCTCGGCCCCCCGAGTCCTGGCTCCAGGGGACAGGGGAGCTGAGGCAGTTAAAGGCAGCGGCTCCCAAGGGCCAAATGCCTGACACAGAGCGGAGGCTCCAGGGCCGCAGGGTGATGCCTGCACTGAAGTAGAAAAACCAGGTGCTCCCCGCCCAGGACAGGGACCACAGAAGGGAGGACAGGAAGGGCACGCGCACCACAGCGATGCTTACCCACCGTTAACCCCAACAAACTGCAGGCTCTTTCTGGCCCCGTTGCCTCCTGCGCGGAAGCCACAGTCTCTCTTTTTCATTATGGATTTCAGGCTGGTCGGCGGAGATATCTCTAGGCAGACAACACCGCAGGTGAGCACAACGTAGCAGCAGAACCAGATGCTTGTTCTGGGGGACACAGCTGCAGGTGTGTGAAGAGCACAAGGACAGCCCTGGCCATGGACGCCTTGGGTCTGGGGGCTCTGCAGAGCCCGGGCCTTCTGGTTGGTGTTGGTAGGACTACACTGGTCAGTGACACCACTCTGTGTGTGGTGGCATGTGGCTCCGGGACCCCTATGAGGCCATGTGGTGTGGGCACTGTCCTGGCTATGTCTGGATGTCCCCCAAAGCCTCTTGCAGTCAGAGTGGGGCTTTTCAGAAGTGACTAAATCTAGAGTGTTCGATGCTGGAGGTGACCCATGCTCTGATGCTAGGTTTAAGGGTGTGATGAGTATAAAATACAAGGGACAGAAGGTGCTACTGTGGTCACTGCTTGTCACTTAGTGCTTGTGTCCCTCTGCTCCACCATGGACTGTTTCTCCTCTGTAATGCTCCTCTGCTGTGCCACTCTGCCTTGGAGCCAGCCAATTATGGACTGAAACCTCTACAAACTGTGAGCTAAATAATGTTTCTCCAAACCCAGGCTTACAGAGAGCCTTTGATGTGTGAAGGCCAGAGGGAAAGCAGGCAGCCAGGGCTAGGAAAGGAGGAAGGGGTGAGGGGCACGTGGGCAGGGCCTCCCCTCCTTCTCTCCTAGTCCTCATCCCCTAGGATCCTGTGTTTGCATGAAGTAGGACCCCCACCCCTGCGCTCACCAGCTACCCAAGCCATAGTTGGGCAGAGGAGCATGATCAGGCCTCCATCCAGCTGGCCACCCTGCCTCATCTTTGTGGCTTGTGCTACCTGTGCAGCTGTGCCCTACAGCTGGACCCAATCTCCGAACCAGACAGAGGGGAGGCACCAGGACCACAGGGTTGCACGCACCAGGCTTCCCCACAGCTCTCAAGCCACAAGCCCTCGTGCAAACTCCCACACATGGGGAGCCCCTCTCCGACATCTCACGGGCACTCACCGGGGGCTGATGGGGTGGGAGCTGGTGGGGAGGGGGCTGGGTGCCCCGCTGGCTCCTGCTGGGGTCCCTGCGCTGCGCAGGCCGACAGCAGCAGGCTGAGTGAGCTGAGCAGCTGGCCGCGGATGCTGCTGAGCCTAGATGCCGGCTGCCTCAGGGCACTGGCCAGCTCAGGGTACCCATGCTCCAGGCAGCTCCACTGCTCCTGCAGTAGTTCCTGGATCTTCCGAACATATTGTCCTAGTGCGGCGTCCGGTGAGGACCCAGGCAGTCCAGCTGGGTGCTGGGAGCCGGCCTCTTCTCTGGCCACTGAGGCAGCCTCCCCATCACTGCCCAAGGTGCCCTCTGCAGCCAGGCCTTCAACAGCCTCCTGCCCCAAGCTGGCCGGCTCCTCGATTCTGAGCTCCGTGGAGAGGCAGCTATGCACGGGGGAGGCAGGGACAGGACAGGATTGCTGTGGCAGGGACAGCTGGGCTGGGCGTCCATCCCCTGGTGGGGCGATGTCTGTCACCCAGAGGAGGTTCCCCGATTCCCCCAGAACTCCCTGGTTCCCAGAGTCTGCAGGGCTCAGAAAGGTGACCCCGACACCCTTGTCATGAGTCTCCACACGGTGCAGGTCACACAGAGGATCGGTGCCCACTGCAGCATCTATGTGGCCCTGGGGATCCTGGGCATCCTGGCTGAGCTTCTCCTCCAGCTGGGCCACCGTGCTCTCCAGCTCAAGAATCCTCTGCTCCTTGGCCTCCAGAGTCACCCGGATACTGGCCAGCTCCTCAACACGGCTGGCCAGCTCATCCTGCAGGGCCCAGAGCTGCTGGCCCAGGCTGCCATCCAGGCCTAGGGCCTCTTCAGTGACGCGCATGCCCACACTCTGCACAGCCATCTCCAGTGGCGACGGTGGCGGGGGGAGCTCACTAATGTTCAGCTCGATGTCCCCCAAGGCCAGCTCACTCTCAGGGACTGGTGATGGCAGAGGTGGGGGGCTTGGGGTGGAGGAACCGGGAGTGGACGCCAGCTGTGTGCCCTCCTTCTGGCCTTCAGCCCCCAGGTGCTCTGGAACCACAGGCACACTCTGGAAGGGAGGAGGAGGGCCTGGGGGACATGGGTAATCCAGAGCCTGTGACTCTCCAGTAGGGAGCTCGTACTCCTTGGGAATCCCCAGAACCTGGTCTCCCAGATCCTTGGCTGTGTTGGCAGCTGACACCCCCGGCCTAGGGCTGGGGAGATCTGCAGGTTCCTCTGCAGGCCTAAAGGCTTCGTCCCAGGTGCCGCCTGTGTCCTGCAGTGGAGGAGGCGCTGGAGGTGTGGGGGGCCCCTCTAAGGCCCTGCTGGGCAGCAGTGTGGCCGGCATGCTGGATGCCCGCAGGAGCTGGGGCCGGGCAGAGGCACAGCTGGGCACTGCGTCCTCCCCCTGCCCAGTGGCCTCAGCCAGCAGGGCTTTCCTGGGGTGGCTCAGCTTGCTGCCCCCAGCCCAGGCCTGAGGGGGGCTGCTCTGTGGCACTTGAGGCCGGGTTTGCTCCTGCAGCCCCAAGGACACCTTCCTGGGCACCGCGGGGGACCAGGACTGCTGGAGGAGGGCAGCCGGGGGACGCACGCCGCTGCTGGGGAGGCTGAAGTTGCGGGGCAAGGTGCTGAACTTGGCCTGCTTGGCCCTCCGGTGGATCGGGACCCGCTTGATGGTGTTGCCCTTCTCAATGTCATCCACGTACTTGAGGAAGTCGAGGTCCAAATGGAAGCCGTACGGTGTCTCCACTGAGTACGGGCAGCTCTTCGAGGAGCCCCTCTCCTCATCCCGCTGCAAGGTCGGGTCCTGGGCTGGGAGAGGAGAACACAAGGTGAAGCAGAGGACACAGAAGCTAAATGTCACAAAGCCTCTCCTGTGGGAGGAGCACATGAGCAGATAATTCAGGGGGCAGGGTATTGCTCTGGGAGGGGAAAGGGAGAGGAGAGGGAAGGTGTGAATGTCACCATCGTGACCGTCATGTACCACAGACACCGCCAATCAAGCGTTTTTCAAGAAGGAGAAGCAGAGAGCTCATGAGAACTACAGGCCAAGGCCCCGGAGGAGCGGCAGTTCCGACTTGGCGCTGTCACAAGACACTTGTCACGGTCCTGGGTCCCAGCTGTGCCCAGGCCTGGTCTCCCAGCAGCACCAGGTAGGCGCCACTGAATCAGTGCACAAGGGTGGCGTAGAAGCACTGGGGCCTTTGTGTCTCAGGCTGCTAGGAACCTGCCCGTGTGGCCCCCAAACAGATTCACTGTGCTGTCTTGCTGGGTTTGAGTCCCACAGCTGCTGAGCTGCATCGGTCAGCAGTTAAGACTGAGTCGGTACCAAGTGGCAGCTGCTGTTCTGGATGGCCTTGCAGGAGAGTTACACAATTTTCTCGAGTTACTCAGATGGCTACTGGCAAAGCCGGAGGACTGGAGGAGCCACACCTTCCTCATCATTTAAGCACCTTCTGATGCCACAGCAGAGAGCAGGAGCAGAGCTGAGGTTCTCTGCCCCCAAAACTGCTCAGCAAGCAAATCCCACATCCAGCAGCCCCACCAGGAGAAAAGGTGGGGAGGGAGATGGGCAGGCGGGCGTCCTCCAAGGCCCCAGCACTCTCAAGGCCACTGGCCACTGGCCACTGGCCACGGGACATGGGGATGGGAACCATCTGCCTGGCTGTCTAGCAGTGTCACCTCCTGGCCCACAGGAGATGTCCAGAGCCCTTGGGGACCTGTCTCCAAGCCCTCTTCCTCAGATGACAGTCTCGTCCCTTCCGTGTCCCTCATGGGACATCCTTATTTCCCATGGCGTCCTGCTAAACACACTCCGAGCAAGCTGGGCCCAGAAGAGCTCAGGAACACAGATCCTGGAGCCCGGTCAGTGTCCCCACTCGGGGAAATGACCTCAATTCCAGCAGCTCCTCTTCCAAACTCAGAACAGCAACCCGCAAGCTGAATTAACTCCTAAGGGACACAGGTGCCTGCAGCACCTGGCCCGTGCCGCATTTGTGCCCTACCCGCACTCACTGCTGCAGTTAGTGTCTTGGTGGAAGCCAAAGTACACAAAACGGAGGCCACAGACTCTAATGACCATGCAGAAGGCCCTGTGGCTAACGAAGCCCTCCATTCTGGGCAAAATCACCTGCAGCCATAGCTCCGTCTTCCACCTGGGTCTCCTCCCTGAGCACCTGTGTACGGTAGGGACCCAGGGACCCAGAGGCGAGGCAGGTGTGGTGTCTGATCAGGTGGTGCCCAGCCAGAGCAGTGTGCTACGTGGCCAGGGAGGTGACGGAGCCAGGCACAAGGTGTCTTTTGCCCCTTATCTGTCCAGCTTCTTTGGAAGTGTTTGCTTGGACCAGAGGCTGGGCTTGCTTTCATAAGGGAGGAATGAAGCCAGGTGGCAGCCTGTCCCCAAAATGGCACCTCCATCCCACACCTGTAATTGTGTAATCCCCAAGATGACAGTGATAGATTGCGTGGCCTGGCAGTGTCTGCAGGGGGATGACGTACGCGCGCTGCTCTGGGTCCCAGACTGCCCTCCCCATGTGCTCGGCTCAGGTCCCCAGGAGCTGCTGACATCACCAGGCACACTGTACTTGGCAAAGGGCACCACCTCTTTAGGGCGGCTGTGTGGCACCTGCTTCCTGCCTTCCTGCAGTGGTGACACCCACGTACCCAGCTGCCAGAGCAGGTGCAGCTCAGATGCAGGGCAGCACCGCCAGCCAAAGCTGTGCCTTCCGGGAGAGGCCAGGGCAGGAAGCCCTCGGGGGTGGAGCACGGCCAGTGTGTCCCCAGCGGCACACACACATTTGTGTCCACATTCACAGTCATGCACTGGCACACACGCACTCACACCCACTCTGAGCTGGGCACCCTGCTCCGTCAGCCACGTGACGCTCACACCCATTTCTCCTGAAAGCACACACCACCTTGATCGGGACTTGGCCATACTACCTGACAAGGGGCCACCAGAGCTCAGGATTCAGGCACTGGCTGGGCAGGGAGCCATCAGAACCTTCCCAGCTCAGAATGAGGCTCTGATCGGATAGATGGGGACACAGCTGGGTTTGAGCCCTGTGGTCCCCTGCTCTGTGCACCCCAGAGCAAAGCATTTTATTCCCTGTGCCTCTGTCTCCCCACTGTAAACAGAGATAATGACAGCTGTTGGGGACCCCGAGGAAGGGCTCAGAGGGATCCCAGGGACCCTCTCTCTGGCCCAGGTTCCCTGCCAGGACACAGCCCTAGAGGAGCACAGAGCCCAGGTCCAGAAAAACAGAAAATAGCAAGAGAAGCAGCAGCTAGAGATGGCTCAGCACTCCCCACCTACTCTGCAGGTCCTGCTGGACATAGATGCCAGAGAGGATGGTACACAGGAGGACAGGGACAGAGGGATGACAGTCACTTGCTTGAGGCAGAGGGCAGCTGGTAGACGAGTGAGGGAAGTTCAACATCCACACCCAAGTCTCCAAAGGAAACAGAATGGAGAAAGTGGCCAAAGAGCCAGAAAAAGCAGGAGAGGGCCGGGCTTGGGAGATAGGGGTGGTGGTGCACTGTACAGACTCATGGTCTCGGCCTGAGATGGGCAGACCCATGAATGCAAGGTGACGGTGGACTCTCAGGTTCCTGACAATCCCTCAGGAGTCAGGAGGTCAGGCCCTGCACCGTGACCTTCAGCAAGTGACCCTAGAGGGGACTCGGGCACCTCGAGAACCTCCTGTGCCACCCAGGGGCACCCCCCCCAGGAGTAGGGCTGACACTGGGGACAGAGCAGTGCCATTCAGGGGCTAGTGATGCCCAGGGGGGGTCCCCTCCACCCTCCACCCTCCTGCAGGGCTGCCATCTGCTCTGGTCAAGTGTGCTCTTCTGCCACTGGGGGGAGCGCTCCCCTGTATGCTGGCCCCTGTATGTCAGGGACAGGCAGCCATGCCACCACGCATGGCCCATGGAACATTAGGGGACATTCTAACCTCGAAGCCCCACCCGAAGGCCACTCGACGGCCGAGACCCAGGTGCGACCAGAGCCTGAGACAGAGCTGACTTGGCCACAAGTATCCTCCCTGTCTGCTGCAGAACAGAGCCACCGTTCAGAGCCACCCTGCATCACACGAGTGGCACAGCCCTGCCCCACACTGCACCGGTCCCCGGGGACTCGGTGCCCACTGCTCCTGTGCCCCCAGTCCCCGTCCCCTTCACACTGGCCAAGAAATCGCTGCCTACCCCCGGGCTTCTCCATCCTGGGGCAGTGACCTTCCGCCTCACAGGCGCTCTTCAACCGCCGGTGTCCTGGAGACTCTGAAAAGGAGGAGAGGAAAGAAGCAGAGATCCCGTTAGAGATTTTTGGTTTGGGGATTTTTGTTTGTTTTTTGAGACAGAGCTTCACTGTGTAATTCAGGCTGTCCCCTCATTCCTGGGGATCTTCTTGCCCCAGCCTCCTGAGTGCTACGATCACAGGTGTGTGCCACCACACCCAGCCCATTAGAGTTCAAGTAGTTCCAGTGGGGACTTAGCACCCAGGAAAGTCAGCCCACTCTGCGGCTCTCAGCTACAAGGAACGAGAGGGAACCTGGCAACACCGAAGCTGAAGGGGGCAGAGGCAGCGGAGAGGCCTGGTTGAGGGACCACTCCATCCAGGTCTCCGCAAGCCCATGACAGAGCTGGAAGCTGGCCTGGCTCTGCTGGTCACGCAGCACTATTCCTGGACAGCAGGTCTGACCCCAAGCCAGCCTGGTTAAGTTAAGATTACAATCCGTCTCCAAGGAAGCCTCAATGGAGCGACCCCAGTGACATTCTCAAGGGACATACAGGAAGTGAGATCTCGGCAGGAGCTGGTGACCTTCAGCCATGGCTGGGGCCAGCGGTGTTACCCAGAGCGCAGGCACCAAGGGCTGCATGGGCAGCACCTGCCTTCAGTCCTGTCGAGACACACTTCTCCCTGGATCCCATCCACTCCAGGGTGCCCCTCTCCCGGTGGCGGGCAGCTCAGCTCCAGCCATGCATCAGTCCCGGGGGACCAACATCGTCAGGTCACAAGGCCACTGCAGCAAGACTCGCTCAGAGACCCCAGGCGAGGAGAGTGGTGAGAAGAGCAGAGGCGCAAACCAGGAAAGCTGGGGCGTGAGAGGGAAAACCAGGAAGACAAAAGTGTGGGCAGCCACACAGAGAGGAATCCAGATAGCGCTGTGCCAGACAGAGGTTTGGGAGCCCTTGTCCTGCAGCACCTCGGCTGCCACAACCTGGCCCGAGGGCAGCTTGTGGGCCAGGGAGGTGACAGCTCTCACCACCCTGCGGGTTCCAGGTCCTTCAAGACCTGGCCTTGGTGGAGCAGGTGGGTAGAGGAGGAGGTAACCAGGGAAATGGGGGGCACAGCCCTGCAGCTCAGTCCTGAGGGGGAGGCAGGCCTGGAGCGCAATGTGGGCTGGGGGCCCTGTGATGTCACAGCACCTGGGCAGACCGGGCTGGCAGCCAAGGCTCTACTCCCCTCCTGCATCTCTCACACCCCACAGCAGTACCAAACCGGGGCCGCGGAGTCTCTGCACACCAGAATCCCCTCAGGAATCCACACCATGGCCAAGAGGGGTCCCACCATTCCCATTTTCAGGTGGGGAGACTGAGGCAGAGTGGACTAGGCTGCCTGGGGCAGTAACAGCAGCTGTTGGAGCTGTATCTGCCAGGTACATTCGGTTAGGAGTCCATGCAAGAACACCTGTGGACGCTTATCCACCTGCACCCACCCTGCTCCTGCTGCTGGAGCTCACCCTGTGTTTTGCTTTATGAGACAGGGTCTTGCTATGTGTTTCGGGCTGGCCTTGAACTCACAGAAATCCTCCTGCCTCAGCTTCCTCAGTACTGGATTAAAGGTGTGTGTCAAACACTTCCTGAAGGTGGGAAGACTTCCTGGGGCCTCAAGGGGGACCCCAGGCCCCGCCCCCAGGAAAAGGGACCCTGGCTGGTGCTGCCCAGGCTGGACCCCACTTCTTCCCTCCCTAGCTGGGGAACTCATCCTGGCCCATCAGGGTCCTGTGGCTGCAGATGGCCCTGCAGCAGACGCTGGGTCAGGTTTCACCCGCAGCTCTGGACCAAGCTGCAGACTTGAGCTCAGACTTTTGGGCGTGAATCACAGCGGGCTGCGGGCAAAGGGGCATTGGCAGTACAGCTCTCTGAGGCAGGGGCTTGGGGTTCCAGGGCACAAAGGGATAGGACAGGACTGTCACAGCCCAGCTCCTCCTCTACGTGTCCCCTTCCCACAGTCCCTTCCCCTTCCCGTGGACGCCCGGGGGTCACCGAGGGTTCCGCAGACTGGGGCAGCGGGAAGCGGGAGGAGAGCAGCTGCCCACAGTCATTGGAGGTGCTGACACAACAGACTGCCCTGAGCGCCCCTGCACGGGATGCCCCAGAGGGGGCCTGCAGCCCCTGGGGTGCTCTGAGCTGTGACACAGGCAGGGTATCCAGACTCCCGGCTCTTGGGACCTGTGGCCACTCCGCTGTCACTGTTCAGCCTGTCCCTGGGCAAGGACCTCAAGGAGCCCAGCCTTCTTGCCAGCTAGGGGTGCTCAGGGCCTGAGGAGGTACAGCCCCTGCCCTCTCCAGCTCTGCTCGCCTGCGAATCTGAAAGCTTGTGAAGGTCAGAATTCCTGCAAGTCCATTGCTGCCCAGCTCCCCGTGCTAAAAATGTAGCAGACGCTCAGTCTGTCGGTGGGTCGTGGAATAAAACAGTCCATCTAGATGGCCTCATGGGGAAGCGCTGACAGGTGCTGAGACCGACTCCTCGCTTAGCCCGCACAAGCCACCTTGGCAACCAGGTCCGAGCTGCCAGTGAGAAACCAGCTTCCCCGTCGGTCGGCAGGGGCAGGAGGGCCGCGTCACTCCAGGGCCATGCAGTGCACTCAGATCCCACAGGACTTGAGGGGGGAGGGGAGGAAGACTGCCCAATTCCAGCGACACGGTCACCTCAGGCAGCAGCGACGTCCCGGTGGGGCTCCCGGCTGCAGCAGACCCGGTCCAGGAGGAGGCCGTGGTCCCCAGGTCGACCCTGTCCCCAGCGTCTGCGTCCCCTCACTTGTCCCCTTTATTTCGCCACTTTCGACCTCATTTCCAGCCTCAGCCCAGACCCCGAGACTTCCCTTCCTTCGTCCTGAAACCGAAGCTGGCTCTGCGTTCCTGCTCTGCAAACCTCTCCCCTGTGCGATAATAAAAACGCTCTGTTTCACCCCAGCGGGCTTCGTGCCAACACAAACAGCACCCTGGCTTTCCCGAGAAGAGAGCTGGCCCCACAACAGCCTTGGTACCCAGAGGTTCCTGGGGAGTCCACCTCGCACAGTCCAAGGTTCGGCAGGGCAGCCCGCGCCCCTGCAGGGCTGGCGGTTTGCGAGCCGAAGCGACCGAGCGGAGCCCCGCACCGCACCCCGCACCGTACCTGGACAGCCGCGGCCGGAGGGCCAGTCCTGCGCGGGGATGCAGAGGGGCTGAGCCCGCGCCCCTGGCCGGAGCCGCCGCTGCTCCACAGCGCTCGCGTCCCGCGGACCCGGAGCTAACTCGCTCACTACGGCCCCAACTCCAGCTCACTTTCCCGCGAGGGTCGCTCCTCCCGCCTGCATTGCAGCAGCCGCATCTGGAGGGCAGCGGGAGCCGCTGGAGGGAGGAGGCCGCGCGGGCTTCCGGGGGGGGGGGGCGCTCCCTGCAAGACCGGGAGGGAAGGAGGGTCCCGCCCACAGAGCGCTCTGGGCTGAAACCCAGCGGCAGCAGCGTCTGCTGCCCAGCTGCGGGAGGACTCGGTCAGGTGATCCGTGACCTTGCTGAGCAGACTCTGGCTTCCTTCGTGTTCCGGAGACCAGGTGGGCAGGGTCAGGAAGGAATCGGTGCTCAGTCCTCCGCCGGCCCTGCAGAGAGGGAGTCGCTCACCTCACATGGCATCCGGCAGCTGGAAGTTACTTCCCAGCTCCGCGGCCCGGGGAGGAAGAGCGTGGGTCCTTCCTGTGGCCGCTGGTCCCTCGCGTGCGCGCGCGCGCCCACCGCTTAGGTCTTTGCTCTTCAACATAGTCCTGGAAGCCTTGGGGTGCAGCGCATTCCCAGCTCAGTTAGCAGCATCCTGCCCCCACCGCCCAGGGTGCTAGGACTGCAGGACACCTCTGGTTCAGTGATGCAAGTCTCCAAGGCAGGCAAGGGGCAGAGCAAGGACAGTGACCCCAGAATGCCAGGGCCAGAGTGGTTGCTCAGCTTGCTGCTGTCTGCCGATCTGCTGCTCTTGACCACCCCATGCACACGCAACTCCGGCAGGAAGAGGAAAGTGGGGTGACAGAGGCCGGATTGCTGCCCAGGGCTCTAGCCTGGGGTGCGAACTGCAGCCAGCACAGGGAAGCTGAGGGGTGGGGTTAGCACCAAGGCCTCCAGGTCTGGCTGCCACACGTAGGAGGCCCCAGCCTGAAGCTGCTGCAGCCTAGAGAGCAGATGTGGGAATGGGGCACAGAGGTGTGTGTACTGCAGGGGCTCCACACCCGCACCATCCCTCATCCTCACCAGGATGGACAAGGTGGTCCATGGGGGGCCCCAGGGAACTATGGCTGCTTTGCAAGCTCAGCAAAGGGCTGGATGGACCTCGTCCCCTCATCCCCATACCCCAGGGTCCAGCCAAGCTGGCCCTGCTCCAACACGACGCCCCATCAGTTCCAGAGGCAGGGGCGGCACTGACCTCCACAGAGGCTGACGGCTGAGTAGCTTTCCAGAGCACCTGAGCGTGCCTGCCTCATGCCTGGTCCCCTTAAAGTATGCCCGTCCATCCTGTGCCCTGCCTACCCTTGCTCCTGAGGACAGCTAGAACAGAGGACGAGAATCCTCTCACTGAGGGCCTGAGTGACTTCCTTCCCTTGGGTGACCGGGTGGAGATCCCAGGGTTCATCCCACCTTCTCCCATGACTCTCCTTGGAAGTTTCTAGATCATCTCACTTCACCCAGAGATGAGAAAACTTTCTGAAGGGCAAGGATGGTGCGATGACCGCTGACCAGGCTAAGGGCCCAGCGTTTGCTTTTCTCAGCTGCTAAAAGTATCTGTGGTCACTAAGTCAATAAACCAAAGCATCAGAACAGGAAGGAATCAGAAAATTACCTGAGTGCTAAGGCTCTGTGAAAATCCATGGGCGGCAAACTGTCCCCTGATAATCTAAGACGATTCAGGAGCCCTTCCAAACTGTCGAGGAGCAGAGAATGTTTCCAGGAGGCAGAGTGAAGGAAGCGACCCATCCTGGAGGTGCACAGTTTGCTAATTCTTTGGCTGCCTGTGCTTTAGTGTCAAAGCCATGAGACTGATGCCAAGCCAACCTCGTGAAAAACCATGTTTTGTTCTGAGTTTTACACTTTGAGCCCTTCAAAGACCTAAAGACTTCGTAAGCTCTACCCCTTGAGGCTCCATGTCCCACAGGGCACCACCTGGCAGCACAGACCTTTTGGGGACACTGAAGGCCTCCTCTTTCCTGCTACACCCTTTTGTCACTGCTGGACGAGGGACTCTGAGACAATGAGTACCTGCTTCTCAGGGTCCCTCCAGGACTCAGGAGCCTCTCAGTATGGCCAGAGACCCCCGCCTCTAGGTGCCTAATTCCTCAATTAGAGTCCCTGCTGCACAGGAAGCGAGGAGGCATTCCCAGAGGACCCAGCAGTGGGGCCTGAATACATGTTTTCTTCAGTTCTTCTAGGCAAGTAACAAAACCATATGGAATCTCACTTCTACCAGAGCTGGGAACACCACAGGTGAGTCCCTGAGGCTTAAGGAGCTTGGAATTCATCCAGGATGGGGTCAATGAGTATTAGTCCTCTGTTCTGTGAAGAAACCTCCACGATCCCTAACAGCACCATGGGATCCTCTGTGCTGCCCGGGGCCAGCTGTGGACTCCTGTGACCCCGGGGCGTGTGTGGCACTGTTAGCTCCGAAGCCCCTGTGCTCCCTGCAGCCCCAACATCTCCTAAATACCCTTCCTGTGTTGGGTACACTTCCCCACTGCATCTGGGTCACCTCCACAGCCAGCACTGAACTCACGGTCCAGCCCCTTTTCGGCTGAGGGTCAGTAATGTAACCTGCACTTAGCAGGTAGAGACACCAAGTCACAGGTCAGGAAAGGCCACAGTGAAGGATCTGGAGGTGCTGGTGGAGTGGCCCGGTCCAAGGGACCCTCTGGCAAGCCCCTCTCACTCGCGCTTGCTGGGTCGAGCCCTGCCTGGCTCCGTGGGTGCTGGGCTGTCCCAGTGCCGCGCTGGCCTTGTGGCTTTGAAGCTTCTGCTCTGTCTTCTGTCACTTCCAAGGTGCCTGGTGGTGGGATCTCTGCAGACTTCGGCCTGACCGTCTGGGTCTTGTTCCTTTCTGTCTCTTCCCCTTGGAGCCTTTCTTGCTGTGCTATTTCCCACCGGAACCTGGGAACGAGCAGAGCTGTCAGGCCACGGAGTGTCCTCTCCACCGAGTAGGCCAAGATGCCAGGAAACAGCTGCTCCCTCTCCTGGGACCCACAGTGACAGCACCTGTGGGGCGGGGACAGTCACCTCTCCAGAGCGAGAGCAGTGCTGTCCCTGGTCACTCGGATGCTGCCCAGGCCCGAGCCCAAGTCCCAATGCAGACTGCAGGTGCTGGGTGGGTCTAGGGCTGGAGGGGAGGCTGCTCTTGGCTCTTGTACGCAGCCTGCATGCTCGGGAGAGTTGCATATGCTGAATCGAGGCTAGGCGGTAACCTGGGGCCTGGAAGGGCAGTGTCAGTGTCCACAGTACCTGCCAGCCAGCCCCTCCGCAAGCTCCCTCTGTTACAGGGAACAGGGTTGCATGGACACCAGGTCACCGCTGTTCCAATGAGGGAGTCGTCTAGAGCAGGCTGCGTACATGACAGCGTGTCCTCTCTGGCTCTGCCACCTCCTGGCAGGGCACCCCAGCACACAGGCCCTCAGTGGACACTAGCACTGGATGCCAGGACTTTCCAGCCATCAGAGCCAGGAGCCAAGAACATTTCTGGTCGTCCTGAGCATGAGCTAAAACAGTGGGCTAATCAGGAAGAAAGGCCTGGTCAAATCTGCCCTGGGCCTCAGTCACCCCTAGGGGCCCAAGATGTTGCACGGGGCTAGCATCTGGAGCAGGCGTGGGCACCGCCTCTGAAGCAGACTGCAGCCCTTGGCCGATGCCCCTTCACACATCTGTGAACCAGCACAGCACCTTGCGAGATGGCAGCGCCAGGCTGGCCCTGCAGGTCCTGCTGCTGGAGGGAGAACAGCGCCCAGGACCAGGTCAAAACCTACTGTGCCAATGGGACGCCGAGGGCCCACAGCATGGCCCAGGTCTACTCTGCTTCCCAGGTCTCCCCACTGCTTCTCCTTTGCCTATCTCCCCTCCTCCCCCCCCCAGGATCTTGTCTGCGCGTGGAGACACCTTGGGCGTTTCTTTAAAGCCATGCAGGGAAGCGGCTCACACTCCCATGCATGACTTCAGTGTGCAGCCTCAGACTCCAGGACAGACAGGGCACCACAGCTTGACATTGGGGCAACCTTCCTGCACTCCACCTTGCACAGCCTGCTGGGCACCAGGGACCAGCTGTCCCTGCTCTTCCACCTGCAAGGTGCAGGTGGCCAAGTTCAGCGCTGTTCAGAGAAACAGCAGGTAGGCAGCAGGCAGCAAATTGGAGGCCGCCCAGCCTTCGCCTCAGTCTCCAGGGAAGCGCACTCCTAGCACAAAGCGAGTCTCCAAACTACGCCTTCCTTTGCAGGTGCAGCTATTTCCAGCAGGGCCACACGGGAGCTCTGTCGGGTCCCCTGCAGACCCCACCCAGCTCCCTTTCCTGGTCTGTGGGCACTGGCGCCCCTGCTGCGCTCTCGACTCTAACCCCTGGTGGGGGCCCGGCCGGCCTCTCACTGCCCGAGATTGCAGTATGCACAGCCATGGGAAGCAGCAGCTGAGCCCTTGCTGGACGCTTCCCGGGGGCAGCTGCCAACAAGGCCCCACAGCAGAGTTTGCAAAACCCACAGCCTAGGGTTTCTAGCCTATGCCACGCCCATTTGAAATCCAGAAACCAAGGCATGAAATTAATATTAGTAGAAGCTCTCAGGGGCATAAGGACATTGCTCCTCGAGGTCCCATCCTGTGCTGCACAGTGGTGACTCCCTGGGTCTCACGGAGGCCACACTCACCTGGCCACCTCTGTGGCTTTCGTAGGGGTGACAGGTCAGGGTCACCGATCCAGAGGCAGAGCTCACACTGGTGCAAGGGTGGAGGCCATGCTCGGGTCCTCAGGGTCCTCGCCTTGGGTCCTCTGCAGCCCCAAAGAGGGGGAAGCAAGGACCAGGTTCAGCAGGGCTCTAAGCTTACTCCAAATCCACTGCCAGCCCTGTTTGTGAGCCGTCAGGTGACTGCGAAATGAAATGTTTTCAGGGAACGCAATAGGTTTGTAATAAGATGGGTTTATCTGTGAGGAAAAATCCTGAAAACTGTGGTGACTTTCTAATTAATTTAAAATTATTTAATCAATAAAACACAATTACTTTCCAAATGATTCCTGAGCATCCCAAGACGCTTGGGTGTTTCACTGCCATTTAACCAGAGAACAGCAGAGGGGTCACAAGATACCAGTTTGACATAACACGCCCTCTGCAGATCTAGCATTGGGTCAAATTTCCATTCCAAAGACCAAAG